GCACTATTTACACACCAATACCTGCCATTTTACACTAAGTGACGGTGACATTATCATGGCACTTGTGCCAGGCTATGTACATCAGGGACGTGCGGTCAGAGGAGGCAGGGGAGGCAGAGCCTCACCTGTCATACTCCAATGAAAATAGCTGTTACGAAAAGTAAACAAAAAAGAATAATCAAATAAAATAAATATCAAGATGTTTCCACTGATCTGTGTTATAAATGTAATTTCTGTACGATTCCAATAATTTTTTTTAGTCAAAATCGCCAAATTTTAGGGGCTCCGCTGCAAATACAGGGAGAGACGAGAGGTGAGGCAGCGACGAGCTCAGCCTCCCCTCTGATTGCGCAACCCCTCAGTAACTGGATGGAGCGCGGGCAATAAGCGCGTGCCTGTTACTATCTCAGTATATCACCAATGTGATGTTTATAGACCCCTTCATTTCATGTCCTCGCCTTCCATACTCCAGGTAACTTATTTCACGTAGTATGTGTATAAAGATGTTTAGGCTCGCTGGTCTCGTCATGAAACTGCAATGAAAAAGCACCGGGGGAGGCAGCTCTCACATCTGCCTCACTGAGGCAGATGTGATAGCTGCGGGCTCCAGGTACGGGCTCCAGGCACCAGGTACGGGCTCCAGGCTCCAGGTACGGGCTCCAGGCTCCAGGTACGGGCTCCAGACTCCAGGTACGGGCTCCAGGCTCCAGGTACGGGCTCCTCGGGTGGCCCAGGTAAGCCCGGGGCCCCTCGCCCCGTCAACCTCCCCGCTCCGAATGTTTTGGTCCCCAGGGCCTCCGACCTGCCGCGTGGCCTCGCGGCCTCCACGGGGCCACTGAGGACGTCGCCTGCGCTCGCAGCAGCAGCAGCAAGCAGCCCAGAGTCCAACCGGGCTCCTGACGCTCTGCGGTCTGGGGAACTCCTCCACACCCCGAGGAAACATTCACCACGGCCTGGAGTCGAAGCGACTCCTCCAGTCTTCTCTGCCGGCTCCGTCCCGTGTGGTGAACGAGCACGTACGTATTAACAACTTTAAACCTTAGCAATCTTGATTTGAAGCTTTCGTGACTGCAGGGATCCATACTCTTTGGTTCTTTCGGTAAAGTCACGTGGTAGGTATCAAATAAAATGAATCACTACGTGAGTTTACCGAAAAAAAACAAAGAATATAATTAACATGTTAAAGCTACCGATTGTGAATTGTAGACACTTGTCTGTTTCCTATAGCGTGATGTAGACGCAGAGCAACAGCTGCAATTTCACTGATTGTAGTCAATCCCGGCTGGAACGCGTCTACCTGTTACACATTGTTGGCCTCCGTTTTAACTCGCGGGATTGCGCACGCAGATTTATTCATTTGATGTCATCATCAATGTCGTGACGTGCAAGTCCTAACACGCGTCGTGTATGTCATGAAAACATGGTTTAACCCTATATGGTCTAACCCTATAGGGTCTACCCATACGGGGTCTAACCCTAAACGGTTTAACCCTCTATGGTTTAACCCTATATGGTCTAACCTTATATGGTTTAATCCTATGATTTAACCCTATATGGTCTAACCTTATATGGTTCAATCCTATATGATTTAACCCTCTATGGTTTAACCCTCTATGGTTTAAGGAGCCGTCCATAAATGACGTCACGCACCTAGGGGGGGGTCAGACATTTGTGACGATGTGTGACGAGTGGGGGGGGGGGTTGAGAAATGTGACGTCACGTCACAATGCGCAACTTTAAATAAATATAGACAACACGTTCTACTTAATGAAATAGACTTTTTAATAAATGTTTTCTCCTACAACATCAAAGTGCAGCGCCACATTAAATACGCACTAAAATGACAATAGTTTAAAGTGATTTGAAGCATGTTTTATATATTTTTTTTTGGGGGGGGGCAGAGCTTTGTGACGTCAAATTTGACGGCGGGGGGTCTGACTTTTTGTGACGCCGTGTGATGAGAGGGGGGAGGGGGGTCAAAAATCGTCCAAAATCGCGTGGCGTCATTTATGGACGGCCCCTTAGCGCGTACGGTGAGATTGCGTGGCAACGATCTGGCGGTGTGCCACGTTGGGCCCCAGCTGATCCGAGTGGGGAGTCGCGTGGACGTGCATCGACGCTGCCCGCCTTCGGCAACCTGGCACTGACCAGCGTGGTGAAGTATGGTCAAATGGTCCCCACGAGGCGCACGGCGTGGGGGGGGGGGAAGTGCTCAAGCTCAACCTCACAGCGGATTATCGATCGGGCTGCAGTGTGCATTGGAGGAAAATGCGTAAAGTTTGTTGCAGTAGTGTGGGCGCATTTTAAATGAAAAATGCTTCTATTGCGACGCTTTTCTGCCGGTATGAAGATGATTAAAATAAGAATAGGCTTTAGGGGCCGTCCATAAATGACGTCACGCGATTTTGGGCGATTTTTGACCCCCCCCCCTCGTCACACGGCGTCACAAATAGGCAGACCCCCCCTCAAATGACGTCACAAAGCTCTGCCCCCCCCACCCCCCCAAAACCATAAAACATGCTTCAAATCGCTTTAAACTATTGCCACTGTAGTTCGTATTTAATGTGGCGCTGCACTCTGATGGTGTAGGAGAAAACATTTTTTTGAAGTCAATTTAATTAAGTAGAACGTGTTGTCTATATTGATTCAAAGTTGCGCATTTTGATGTGACGTCACATTTCCCAAAGCCCCCCTCGTCACACATCGTCACAAATGTCTGACCCCCCCTCCCCCCAGGTGCGTGACGTCATTTATGGACGGCCCCTTATCCTTTCCGGCAAGTACACAGCAGGTACTCTTTGGTTCTATTGGGTAAAGTCAATAGAACCAAAGAGTATGGATCCTAGCAGTCACGAAAGCTTTAAATCTAGAATACACGGCAGGTGTTAACATTTTTAAAACGCCAAATTCCCCATAGCTTGAGCTGCTCGACCCGAGCCCATTAACGCTTTGATATTGGCACTGTTCTAGATTTGAAGCTTTCGCGACTGCAAGGATCCATACCGAATGGTACTAAAGAGTATTGGCACTGTCCTTCGTGCCATTCGCTTCCTGGCGTTCTGTGTGCTGTAGGACAATGACTTTCAAGGAAAATGCGTAAGTGCATTGTTCCCGAATCCTGTCTGTCTGCATGTTTCACCTCGGTCGCGTGTGCTGAATGCAGACTTTGATGCCTCGTGACTATCCCTGTGCCGAGGATAAACCCGCCAGTGCTCCATTTATCCACCCAATCAACCATCCATCTTATATTCTTGGTTCTTTCGGTAAAAGTCACCACGTAGAAGGGAACCAATAAAATAATAAAAATATAAAACAAAAAAATTATCACGGCGTTTCGACTGCCAACACATCTGGCTACCATGAGAGATTCGTTCATGAGGCTTTCCACATATACAAACACAGAGACAATTTCCACCGAGAAGATGGATTCTGGCTTAGCAATCATTGGAAGGATTTGATCAACCATTTCGGGTCTTAATTGATTGATCACGCTTAAGATGGCTTTCAGACCGCATCCATTATTTGTTTCTTTCCCTTCTACGTGGTGACTTTACCGAAAGAACCAAGAATATGAATCCCTGCAGTCACGAAAGCTTTAAGTCAAAACGATCCATCTATTCATCCATTCAACCATCCATGTATCCACCCATTCAACTATTCATCCATGTATCTATATATTCAACCATCCATCTATCCATTCAGCCATTCATCGCGTGTGGCTGGGCCATTACGAGTCGGCACAGCGATATCCACAGCGTGAAACGCATCGCAAGTCTCTCATCACAACCATCCTCTCCACGCACCGGTCTCTGCGTGGAGAGGAAACAACACTAATTATAATGATGATGTACAATTCTAAAGCGCCTTTCATCCGGACATCGCAGGGCGCTGTACACACGCACGTACGTGCAGACTAACACCAATCACACCCAACCCCAAAACGAAGGATTCAAGAGATGGACACGTTTATCTAAAAATAACTGGCGTATTAAGGCGCGATTTTAATAACGGGAGAAGGGTGGGAGTCGGCAGAGCGAACGTGCGGGGGGACGTTGATTACACAGCTTGGCAAAATCTTGTCAACTAGTCTTTTGCCATCCAAGGACGGGTGTATTGCAGTAAATCTGAAACTTGCAAGCTAAAAGCAGCCCGCGACGTGATATTCATTGCATGAATGCGCGTGCAGTTTGTAAGGGCGCGGTGACACAGACCTATTTCATGTAAAGGTTGTAATCCCTTGTTCATCATGATGACCTTTTTACTTTGATGTCTCAACAGCGTTACGGAGAGATCACGTGACGTGAGGGTTCTGCCTTTGTAGTGAGGGTTGTGAGTTGACGCCGAGGAGGGGGGAGGAGGCGCCTCGACCCCCCCACGTGGAGTGACGTCAGCCGCTAATTATTATTAATGGAGGAGGGGGGAGGGTTCATTTTGAGGACGGCACCGGCTCATGATTAGTAATGAGGGGAGCTGTCCGATGTGGAGTGACGTCACTTGCGCATGATTATTAGTGAGGCGAGGAATACTCCATATTGAGTGACGTCACCCGCTCATGATTATTGATGAGGAGGGTAGGGGGGGGAGGTGTTCATTTGGAGGCGTTTACCTGCTCATGAATATTAATGAGGGGGGGGGGCTGGTCGATTTGGAGTGACGTCACGAGCATTAAGGACAGACATTCCTGGGTGAACAACATAGTAGGTATTGCTGAGCATCGTGGCATTGATTAAACTCACCTGGAGGAGGGAGAGGGATAAACGGTGTTTACATCACGAGCAACCCACTGCCGAGTCACGACTCCGTAGCTCCACATTGCAATTCATATTAAAATAACAGCGTCAAAATGCAACCGCACCTCCGGAAGCTTCGCCGAGGAAACTGAGAACACTGTGCGTCCAATCGGCTCTACGCAGGCAAAAACAAACGAGGAGTTAAAGTCGTCAATTCGACAAGGGTCGCAGCAGCGGGAGAGTCAGAAGTGGATTCCAGACCCCAGGAGCAGAACGGGAGGACACTTCACGAGGTTCCGTGTCATCTTTGCGCAGGGGGCCATGCTGGTCCGCTCTGCAGCGTTCCAATTCTCTCCTGCCATGCAACCAACGTCGATGGCTGTGGGTGGCTGTGTCGGGTAGGAGGTGGAGGCCTCGACTGATGTTGCAGCGGAGGCAACGTGGCCAGGAGTCGAGTGGCGAGACGAGAGAGGTGGGAGGCAGGGCCAAGACCTTGGAGGATTGCAAAAACAAAACCAGTAGCTGCAACCTCAAAGCGAACCTGTAATTATTTAATGGAGAGTATTGCACAACAACAATCATATTCATACGCAAATATATAAAGTGGCACTTGAGTCACGCCACGTGCACGCACACGTGTCACGTTGAGTGGGATGAAAGAGGGAGTTCATTGTTCATCGTCGCACCGTCTGCATGCCACTGACGAAATTGGAAACGCTCTTTCCAGTGCTGTCCGACAAAACAAACAACCCTGTCTAATTACATTTTTCTCCCTGAATTCAACGCCTTGGATGGCTCTATGGCAGCGCGCTCTCTCTCGCTCTTTTTTTACGACCAGAGGAAGCAAGATGATGCTCGGTTTAGTCAGCGCTTGGCTTCGTTCATCATTTCGCTTTTTTTTCCTTTGCTTTATGTGCTTCCCCCCCCCCCTTTTTCAATGAAAGATTTTCCGTGTTTTCCCATTGTGAAACAACAACAACAATTTCGATTTAAAGCTTTCGTGACTGCAAGGATTCATCTTCTTTGGTTCTTTCGGTAAAGTCACGTAGAATGAGAATAAAACAATAAATTGTGTTGTGGCCGAAACGTCGTGAGAATATTATTGTGTTATTTTATTTTATCAATTTATTATTTTATTCTCATTCTACGTGACTTTACCGAAAGAACCAAAGAAGAACAACAACAATCTTTTACTACGAGAAATGCCGCATTTCCACACGGTACTCCTCGCAGTCCTATGGCTTCCGACGGTAGCTCATATCTCCATGCATAGCTCTCCATTTTCTGCAACCGAGCACACGGCCTCCTCCAGCGCCCACTGCTCCTTGAAGGCCGTCACGGCGTGGGTCAGCTGTGCATGGCGAAACTCCAGCCACACCCTGGCACCGACCAGAGCGTGGAAGATAACCCAGGCTGCTGGCCGGACGTTTTTTTTTCCATGACCACCTTCCTCGCCCTGTAATATGGCGAGCTTGGCATAGCCGACTAGTACGTTGACCAGCCCCTGAAGATGTTGGGATCCGTCGCCCTTCGGGTGTCCAAAGATGAGGACCGTCGGGGAGAAATGGAGGCTGAACCTTAGGAGGATGTTGCGTAGGAACTTGAACAGCGAGTCCAGGCTCTTGCACTCCACGTATGTATTGGTGCACGACTGTCTCCACTTTACCGCAGAACCGGCACTCCGGGGACGTGTCGGTGAAGCGCACCAGGGAGGCGTTGGTGGTGACAGTGCCATAGGCGATGTTCCAGCTGAGCTCGCCGATGCGGTTGTACGTCGGGCTGGAGTAGACTTCCCTCCAAAGAGGCCTCTCCGGAGAGACGCAGGGCTAGGGCTTTCCTCCAGACGTGGTCCTTGTGGCTCAAGGTGTCCTGTAGGTGAAACTGGACCATGTAGGAGTAGAGCACCTTACTTTTTACGTTTGTGAAGGTCACCTCCGGTAGGTCTCCCGGCCGGCACAGGTCGTGATCTGCCTTCGTTTGTCGGCAGTGGCGACTCAGGGGCAAGACGAAGAGCTCCGGTGGAGGAGGACCGAGAGGGGCCTCATTATCCCCGATGCCGATGGGGGGCGTTCTCCCCGCTGCCGCTAAGAAGGCCCCATTGGCTTTGGCCAGGATCCGGGCAGCCACCTGGAGTGACTGCAGCCCCGTCTTTGCGGCCATCTCGGTCGGTCCGAGCCACCGGCCCCGTGTTCCGGGCTCCACCAGAACTCCCATCCTGGTGAGATGCGCATTGGCGAGGCGCCTCTCCATGCCGGGGGTGGTGGATGGCAGCTTTTTCTGCAGGTTCCAGAGGATCAGTTCGAAAACCAAATCCTCAGCCGATCGCCGGTGGTTCAGCCTCCTGACCAAGACGGAGCTCCATGTCTGCAGGACGCTCCTGTAGAAGGGTGGCAGCTGTCGCAGTGGGAGGCCCTGCAGGTCCATGTAGAACAGCTGTTTGGTGCACTGCAGACCCCCCAGCTACTCCAGGAGGATGGAAGCGTGATGCTCCAGGCTGGTGCAGGGGTGGCGTGCAGTAACTTTTGCGCATCTTGCAGTCAGAAGGTGGCCAGTTGACTCCGCACACACACCAGCCCGTGACCGCCCTCATCCAGTGGTAGGGCCAGGACCCCAACCGCGACCCCGGTGTCCTCCGTCCGACCAGAAGAACTCGAGGACTCGCTTCTGAAGTGCGTTGACGAGGCTCATGGGGGGGGGGGGGGGGTGTGCAGGGAGAAGAGTCAGTGCCACAGCAGCATTGATTGCACCAGCTGGTTCACCACCAACGTCTTTATCCTGAAGGTGAGGAATTTGCACAGGCGACTCCAGGTGCCCAGCCGCTCCTTCACTTTCTCCTCCAGCTCGACCGAGTTGCTCTGCAGTGGGTCCTCCTCTGGGCCTAGGAACACCCCCAGATGGTGCAGCGATGTTGTGCTCCAATTTATGGCTTTTGCCTTGTCCCAATCCCCAATCAGGAGCCCGCTGCACTTTTGCCAGTTCATTTACGATGAGGGGGCCTTCGAAAAGACCACCTGGCACTCGTGTAGCAGGGCGACATCATCCAGGGAGTGCAGGATGACGACGTTGTCGGCGTATGCCGTCAGGACCAACTTTACGCTTAGTTCTCTGAGCACTAGACCATTGAGTCTCCTCCTGATGAGACTCAGGAAAGGCTCTAAAGCAAGGGCGTGAAGTTGGCCTGACAATGAACATCCCTGTCTCACTCCTCGCTCGAATTTGACCGGGGCAGTGAGGGTGCCGTTGACCTTGGTAATGCACTCTGCCTTGGTGTAGAGTAGGTGGATCATTCGGACGAAGGCGGATCGTTCGGACGAAGCCATCCCCAAAAACCAAAAGTGTTGAGAGTTCCCAGGAGGTATTTGTGGTCCACTCTGTCAAAAGCTTTTTCCTGGTTAAGGGCCAGAAACACGATCGGGATGCCCAGCCTCTGGGACACCGCGATTAGGTCCCTGACCAGGAAGATGCCATCGTGGATGGTTCCTGTTTATGACTTGTGCTATCACCCCTTTCAGTCGCAAAGAGAGAGCCTTCGTCAATATTTTGTAGTCGGTGTTCAGGAGGGGCACCGGACGCCAGTTCTTTAGGCGCTTCAGGTCTCCGTTCTTCGGAAGCAGAATGAGCACCGCCCTCCTCCAAGACTGAGGCATCACCCCAGTCACAGAGGCTTCTTCCAGCTCCTCTCTGTAGTCGTTCCATAGGGATGGCCAAAAAGTGGCGCAAAACTCCTGTTAGCCCGTCTAACCCGGGGGTTTTATTTGGGGTCAGTCCTCTTACTGCTGTGTCAGGGTCATTTTTATTGAGCTTTTGCTCCAGCAGCTCTTTCCCGTAGTCCTCCAGGGTTGGCAGACCGGTCCATGCCTCCGCCTGGGCCGCACCCGATGTTTTTTCAGGGGAGAACAGGCTGCCCTAGAAGTCTCTGATGATGGTCGACTTCTGCTGAAGTTCGTGCGCCAGGACACCGTTACCATCAAAGAGACACTCCATGGATATGCGCCTCCAGTTCTGCCTCCCAAGGGAGTAGAAAAGTGGGGATCCTGTGTCGAGGTCGGTGATGAGCTTCACCTGGGATTGCACAAACGCCCCCCTCATCTGCTCCTGTAGGCCTTCAGATGCTCCCTCTTCTCGCATTCTCGGAGAAGAGCGGGGTTGCTGTCCTCGGCGACCTGACTCCAGATCGAGGACTTGGGCTTCCATGTTGGTGATGTCTGCATTCTTCTGTCGGGTGCTCCCCCAGGTGTATTGCTGTCGCAGCAGCCTGGTGTGCACTTTGCCCACATCCCACCACTGGGCCAGAGAGTCAAACTGCGTTTTGGTTTTTCGCCACTCATCCCAGAAATCCTTGAACATTTCTATGAGGGCGCCATCCTCCAGCAGCGAGTTGCTAAAGTGCCAGTGGGACGCGCCCTCGCGGGCCCTCTCCAGCCTGACACGGAGCACGACGAGGTTGTGGTCCGTGAAGGGTGCCGCTCTGATGCCAGACGTTATGGCGCACGTCGCAAAGCTCTTAGAGATGTAAAATCTGTCACCTGGACTGCATTACCGAGCCGTCGCCCCTCGTCCTCGTGTACGTGAACTGGCGTTGGCCCGGGTGGTGTATGCGTCACACGTCCACCAAGGCGGCGTCCTCCAGGAGCCCCTGCATCTATTCGGACCAAGTCCCCCGGGCTGCCTCCCCGAACGATCCAGGGCGCCGAGTGTGCAGTTGTGGTCGCCATCCACAATCACGCACTCGTCCACCGGGATCCCGGCCAGGTGCTTCCGCAGGAGGTGCAGAAATGGGATCTTCTCCTTGTTGGTGACTGGTGCGTACGCGTTCAGTAGGTGGGTGGTGACATCGCCCACCTTAACCATTACAGCGAGCAGCTTGCTCTTCACCACTTCGGTCTGGGTGATGAGCTCGGGATGACATTTTTGAGTGAACAGGGTCGCGATGCCACAGGAGGTGTTGTTAAGGTGGCTGTAGAAGGAGTCCCCTACCCACTCCTTCCTCCAGTCATCCTCGTTCTGGACCATAAGATGCGTCTCCTGGGTGAAAAAGACAGAGGCAGCGAGTTTCCTTGCAAGAGACATTGCGGAAAACATCCGCACTGCCGTTCTACACCCGTTCATGTTTAGGGAGCCGATGTACATGGACAGTGTTTGTTCCTTGCCTCTGTGGCCTCCCACCTTGTAATTTGGTTGTGGAAATATATCAGCTTCATTCTCTCCTTGGCATGGGACTCAAGTCCCTGCTTGGGGAGGAGTCTCTCGGCGTGATTCACAGAGGCCTTTATTTCCTTGCTGTCCTTTCATCAAGCCAAGGCAATGTGCGTTCTGTTCTTCTTCACGTTGGTCTCGTCGAGGAAGTGCCGGAGCTATTCCGGTGAGACCAGGTGAGTCT